GTCTTCAAAGCCAGTCATTTTAACAGGAGGAATTTCAATGCACAGGAGCTTATGCTTGTTAACATAGAATTGTGAAATAAGACCATAGACATTACATCTACTGTCTATCATTGCTCTAATCAAAAAGGCATTATCTACTAGAACATTGACAGTGAAAGGTTTGAATATCATTTTAGATTTAAATCCTCTTCATTGCTTTTTCATAAGCTTCTTATTTCACTTCTTCCAGTGTCTTTTGATTTAAGCTACTCTTTTTCCTGAATCCTCACTTGTATCCACATTGTTGTCATCTAGTACCAGCTCAGAGATCATCTTAGCTATTGTGGGGGTGGCAGGGTGTCTGGGAGATTTGAACAGACAGCTCTTAATCATATGATCTTCAGCTCTGTATCTCAGGCACAGGCCTTGCTCTCTTCATCAATTAACCTCTGTCTGATTTATCAACTTGGTGTGGCAGATGCTTGGGGTCACAGCATCAGAAGAGAGATCCATCAGATCATCAGTGAAAGCTTGAGACCAGTTTCATCAATCAAGAACAGCATGACAAAGTAGAGAGTGTGAATTAGATGTCATATGATCTGAAGAAGATCTGCTCTCATGATGTTTAGACCACTGCCTTAAAGTCTTAAGCTCAGAGAGTTGATGATTAACTAATCTAAGCTTCTTGCAGTAATTCTCATAGAGAGATGGTTCCCTTACACCCATCATGCCTTCCCTCAGCTCCATGCTTAGGGCAGATTTCAAATACCTCTTTTTAATACAATCATTCCATCTGTGACTGCCAGCTTTCAGCAGTAGCTGATTAAATTCAGACAGAAAGTCAAAGAGAGCTCTTCTACTCTGTCATAAATTGTTGAGCTTTTGCATAGTCTTTTCCTGTTGTGTGGGATCACTAAAGAGCATGTGTGTCTGCTCCAGTAAGCTCTCTACTATGAAGTTGATCTTGTTCTTATTATTCTCAACTCAGAGATAAACTCAAGCTGCTGCCATTTCTTCCAGTCTTAAGTACACATATCAAGCACATTTCTCATTATTGCCTAAAGCTTTTCTATCAATCTTAAGCTTTGATTGAAGCTTTAGCTCCCACTGAGAGTAGTGCTTCAGATTAGAACCATCATACTTCTTGCAGTCCAGTAGCTTGATCTTTGATCTTCTGACTGCAATGAGTGATTGTGAGTTCAATTGAGAGAGGATTGATGTCAGAATGTTCAAAGCTTGTCATAGATTAGCTATTTCAGCTTGCTGAGCTGCTATTAAATCTCTGTTCTCACACTGAATCTGTTTCTGCTGTTGAAAAAAGGTCATTCATTGTTGTTCAAAGCTGCTGGAGGTGTCCCTGCTCATTGCTTCACAGTGATTCATTTGTGTATTTGTTGTACAAGTCTGCTGCTTTATCTCATTCAGCTAGACATTTTCAATGTCACTCATTCATTTGTTAGCATGATTGCTAACCCAGTCTATTCATATACCAGTTCTATCACTGAACTTTGTAATGCAGGATTTAAAGCTTCCAATAGTCTATCATATGTTAGCATGTTTGCTGAGCTTCATGATACAGAATTAAGACTCCCAGTGGCCTATCAATGAAAGGAGTGAAGCAATTTGTAATGTAAAGGGTTAAGCTCTAAGAACTAGAGGCTAGTCCTCCTATATAACAAGAATGAATTGCTTGAGAAAGAGAAGAAAAGAATGAGATGAGAACTCAAGCTTAAGCAAGCTCACGTAGTATGATCACGTGCGCATATGCAAATGATGGCTAGGCTGAGTCAGCCAGCCAGAGCGAATCTAGAGATTCAACTTCTTATACTACTAGTGCATCTGTAATACTCTAAGTCAGAGCATTCAGCTGATCTATACTGAGATACTTTGAAATATCAAATAGTTTATCTAGTTTTAACTTATACACCTTCAGCATCTGATTAAAGACCTTCTCATTCATGATGTTGAGACAAAAATGATGAGATGATCTATCAGATCTTGCATCTCATGAAAGGCTGATTTTGATGAGAAGAGTCTGATGATAAGAGAAAGTATAAAGAAATCTGTTTATTTATGTGTTCACTTCTTTGATAACTAATTCTAGAGTGGCTCAGACTAGGTCTAGCATGTTATACCTATATGTAGAGGTGTCTGAGTTCATGATGAGAGTAAAATTGAAATTCATGATTCATTGCAGAAATAATTCTGCTTATATGCTTGAAGACATTTCTGATTATCATGCAGAATGCTTGATATTGAAATTATCAGCAAAAAGTAAAGAAATTGCTGAGATGAATCAAAGAGAAGAGAGCTGATATTTTATTTAAAATTCTCTGCATCTGAGAATGTATTTTATATGTTGACTGTCTGAAGCTATAGATCTCAGATCTATATATGCAGCATATGAATGTCTCAGTTTTCTATCTAGAGGTCAGAGACTATATGAGCATGAATTTGTGAATGCTTATGCACATAGATGAGAATTCATGACTTTCTGTTTCACTTTTCAATTGAGGCAAAGCAGTTGAATACTGAGTGTTTTTTAAAGATGTGTCAGCTCAAATTTCTGTAAATTCAGAGCTTTTATATGAGAAAAATGTTAGTCTTTTTTTCAAACACTAAATTAAAAACTGTCTCATATGTTGAACTTTCTTTTTCTATATTGATCTTTATAATCTGCAGAAATTGTGAAGATTTAAAGTTCTTCTTTATTGAGTAGCTGAAAGAAGAGTGTTGTTGCAAAAGATATCATATTAAATATTGTATTAAATATTAAGTTGAGCATCATGTCTAATGCTGTATCTAATGATATGCTCAATGTCATGTTTAATGTTGTGTTTGATATCAGTGTGAGATTAAATTTACACTCAGTAAAGTTATTTACTCTCAGATCAGCTAATGAATCTCAATCACTACATTTACTATTATTTATTTTAATCAAGTATGTCTTATTTTATGTATTGTAGATATTTCTCAGCTAATTTCTTGAATGTTTTTAAACAATTTTATTCTTTATTTCTGATCTGATAGAGCAGATTAAATCATCTGCAGCATGTGATTCAAAACAGTTAATGCAGTGATTGTGGCATTCACATACTTCATTTTTATTATAATAGATCAAATTTTCTTTCACATGATTTTTAGATCTGTATTTTTTGCAGTGAGAAATATAAAGAAAGTATTTTTTTTAATAAAATTCTCAGCATCTGCTGTATTGTTATATTTTAATCTTAAATGTTTTTCTAATCACTGATTTTTGATATTCATATAGTTTTACTTTTTGATGATAAATTTACTGCTGTCTCTTGTGAAAAGTATAATATAAAAGTGACTGTTGAGTTTTCAGAGTGTGTTTTTACTCAGTAACTATGAACAAACTTAATTCTAATTTAAAGTGTGAATTTTTTTTATCATAAATGCTGCTGAGAGACACAGAGTTTCATCATCATAATCATTAATCTTCATAAGCAGCTCAGAAATCAGACAAATGATTCAATGTTCTTTCTTCTCTATCTAAACATTGATGAGAGTAGCTGTTACATTATTCTTTTTGACTAGCAAAGTCTTCATGTCTTATAAACTTCTAGAGATGATGACAATGTCAATGAGAATGACTTGAACTGCTGTGATGACTGCTGTCAAAGACTTTGAAAGTTCAGTCTTAAGCTTTCTAAGAGTAGTTATCAGACTTGCTTTATAAGTTAGATGATCTGAAGACAAACATGCAAGAATTTATGATGTTTTTTCTTCTTAAGAGTTATTTCTAAGCAGAGATTTATATAGTATAATTGCTGATATTTTTATTACATTAATGCTGTTTACAGCTGTTTTTGCATATATAAAAGCTATTGCATCAGTTGCATCAGTAAAGTTAGTAAATTTGATTGTAATGAACTACTTCACTATTTCTAAACTTTTATTGTATCAATCTTTGACTAATGACTTCATGATAACTTCAAAAATCAGTGTTTTTAATAAATTTTTTATCTTCATGCCATCTAAGTCTTCTTCAATCTGATTAAGTATATTTATAGCAGCTAGTGCTTCTGTATGAAATTTCTATATCTCAGTCTCATGAATAGCTAGAAGCTTACTAGCCATCAGATCACATAGATTGAAATGTATTTGTTAGGCTCAGCGTCCGACCGAGCCCGACCGAAGGCCGGTGCCCGGTTAGACTCGACGTCGGATTAAGCTCGGCGCCCGATTAGGCCTAATCCATATCACGTGACCACACGACCATGCAGGTGGTTATAATCCACGCAGGCCCCAGCACCCCCTTTCATCCCATCAAGCTTAGTATTTTGTTATATAGCAGTTAGCAACGCAGAGAGTCTTTCTTCTTATGTAGCTCGCATTCACTCCCTAACACAATACTAAGCTTCCCTTCTACCTTCTCACTCAGGTTTCAGCAGAAAACTTGAGTGCCTCAGTTGAATTAGAACCTGCTAGTTCAGAGCCTGACAATGCATCAGATCAACTGCTAAGACAACAGCACTGTTGAAGACAACAGCTCAATCCAACATCAGATGGCCACCACAGGCTCCCAACCCCCTGGAAGGGGCTGAAAGGACTGATGATACCTCCTAACAAGATCAACTGACCAACCACATGTCTCAATTGAGGAATTCAGAGAGGCAATCCACTCAGACAGTGACTGTGTTTATAATGAGTTGGCAGTGATCTTTGATGGCATCTTTGACAATGAAAAAACATTAAGAGATATGATCACACATCTGAGAATGGAATGGGACAATGTTACTAATCAGACTGCTGTCAAGCAAAGCCAGATTGATGAGCTAATTGCTGAATGTGATGAACTTAGTCACACTCTGGTCCACATGACAGTCAGCAATCAAGCAGCAAGTTGAGGTGTCACCCCCTCTGAGACTGCCAGGAGGTCTGTCAAGATTGATGATCTGAAACACCTCACTGACAGCAAGGAGCTGAAATTTGAACACTGGCTCTCCCAGATGAAGAACAAGCTCTGAGAGAATGCTGACCACTACCCTACTGAACACATGAGAATAGCATACATTGAAAACTGGACTGATGGGGACACAGCACATCACATTGCACTCTGTATGAAAGAGAACCACCCTGAGCAATATCAAACTGCAGAAGAGATGTTTGAGCACCTCAAGTCAATATATGAGGATGCTAACAAGCTGCAAAATGCCAAGGGTGATTATCACAAGCTGATTATGTGCAATGAGGATAATTATCATGAATTTGTCACAAAATTTTTACATCTGGCAGGGGAGGTCAAGATTGCCAGAGGGGACTACAAGACAGACTTCAATGACAAGCTGTCCTTTGACCTTCAGAAGATGGTAGCAGTAGCCAATGTGATCACTGATACATATGCTGAGTTTCAGAAAATCTGTGTGCAGACAGCTCACACCCTTCAGACAATCAATGCCACCCAGAAATCAAAGAGCTCATGGGGAAATGGGTCTAATATCTTCAAACAGAACACTCTGTGGACTGTCAACAGTCAAACACCCCTCAGCATCTCTACAACAAAATCCTCTACTGTGAAGGAGGCCTTGAGCTCTCATTCAGATATTCAGTGCTACTACTGTAAGGAAAAAGGCCACATTGCCAGAAACTGCCCTGCAAAGCAGAAGTTCCAGCAGATGATTGCTGAGCTCACAGAGAATGATGCCTCTGAGTCTTCAGCAGATTCAGGAAAAGAGTGAGTCTGAGAGAAGACTTCACCTCAGGTAGTTCAACAGTCTGTGAGAGGTTTGAGATGAAGGACTTGATTGGGGGGAAAAGCTTTAATGTACTAATCAAATTAGCCTACAATGGAATTGCTACTTCTACAAATTCTCTTGCTGATACTGAAGCAAATGATGTGAATTTTATTGATACCTGATATGCCATAGAATTGGCAAGATTCTTTGATAGGAAGTTTCAAGAACTCCCATTCAAATGCCGCATGAAGGGATACAATGGTGCCCCCGGCAGGGTGATAGACCACACATTGACCCTAAACCTCTGGGTGGATGGCCGGAGATTTCAGAATGTCCCTCTGCTGGTAACAGACCTAGGCCAGCACCCTGTCATCCTGGGACAGAAGTGGTTGGCAGCACAGGATATATGGCTTGATGTTAAAAACCAATGTCTGATTTGGCTGAGTGAACAGTCTATCCCTGAACAGATGGCAGAGCTGATGTTGAAGATAGTACCCTGATCAGTACTGAAGTGTCCAGACCCCAAGCCTGAGCATCAGGCAGATGTGGAACAAAGAGAGATCAAGCTGGATGAGGAGATCAGACAGGAGCATCAGGCTCAGCTCCACAGATTGAAAGGGACCAGCTCAGTCATGATGCCTGAGATGAGGCAGGGGCTGACCTGGGAGGAGACAGCACCACAGATGATGGATATGAACTTCATTGAGGCTGCTTCCTTCCATGATTATATGAAGAACAAGAAGTCAACAGTCTTCATAACCAGTCTGTATGAAATTGATAAACAGCTTGAGGAGAAGCAGGGTTTAGTGAGAGCTGAGGATGAGTCTGATGAGAAGCTGATCAGCAACTTATCAGAATGATTGAAAGACCAGAAGAACTGCTTCTCAAAGAAAGCATCAGATGAACTGCCCCCCCTACAGAAGAATGTTGATTTTAAAATAGAGCTTCAGCCTGATGTTGACCTCACCCAGGGCATTGGACATGCGCCTCTATATAAGATGAATCTAGAGGAACTAGAGGCAGTGAAGACCTACCTTGAAGCCAACCTAGCAAAGGGTTTCATCACCCCAAGTTCAGCCCCCTACGCCTCCTCAATCCTGATTGCCTGTAGTGGGAAGAAGCTACAATTCTGTGTTGACTTTCACAAGCTGAATGCTATAATCAAATGAGATCAGTATCCCTTGCCTCTGATAGATGAGCTGATGGACCAACTCAATGAAGTGAAATACTTTACAAAGTTGGACATTCAGCAGAGGTTCCATCACATCTGAATGGACCCTGAGTCTGAGGACCTGACCACCTTTAGAACCCGCTACAGGACCTATAAATATCAGGTGGTCCCCTTTGGCCTTACAAACACCCCTGCCTGCTTTCAATGATTTGTTAACAGTATCTTCTTTGACTATCTGGACAAGTTTATGACAGCATTCATGGATGATCTTCTAATCTATAGCAAGAATCTGGAGGAGCACAAGCAGCAGGTAAACTCAGTGCTAGACTGACTAAAGACAGCAGGTTTGCAAGCCAGCATCCAGAAATGTGAGTTTGCAGTTCAGAGGACAAAATACCTAGAGTTCATCATCAGTACAGAAGGGATTGAGGCAGACCCAGAGAAGACAGCTGTCATTGTGAGATGGCAGGCCCCCACCACAGTCAAAGAAGTCCAGTCATTCCTAGGATTTGGCAATTTCTACTGACAATTCATAAGGAACTACAGCTGAATCACAAAGCCACTGTACCAGTTGACAAAGAAGACTATCCCATTTGTGTGGACATCAGAATGCAAATCAGTCTTTGAAAAACTGAAGAGGCAGCTGGTGGAGGCTCTGACACTGTGTTACTATGACCCTGAGCAGAAGACTTGTATTGAGACTGACACCTCTGACAGAGTAGTGGCTGGGGTACTAAGTCAAAGATTTGAAAATGACCTTTGGCACCCAGTAGCCTTCTATTCAAAGACAATGAATGGTGCAGAGCTTAATTATGAAGTTCATGATAAGAAAATGCTGACAGTAGTCCAGGCCTTACAAGAATGGTGGGCAGAGCTTGAGGGACTACAACAGGAGAAATGATTCAAGATCCTCACTGATCATCATGCACTGGAATACTTCATGACTATCAAGAAGCTGAATGCATGTCAAGCCTGCTGGGCAGAGTTCCTCTCCTGTTTCTACTTTGAGATCAAGTATTGACCAGACAAGGCCAATCTGCTAGCAGATGCACTGAGCAGGCCTGAGCAGGTTAGAAGGCAACAGGACAGCTGTATGCAGATTCTCCTAGGACCAGAGACTCTTGACCCTCAGATCACTCTCTCTACAGACATTGCTAGCATCAACTCCTCAGAGAAAGAGAGCATTGCTGAATGCATAGTGTCTCTAAACAAGACAGCCACCTCAATTGAGCCCCTGCAGCAGCAGGCAGATGATGAGAATAGTCCCTATACAATGAAGGACAATGTGCTACAGTACAATGGAAGACTAGTGGTGTCTGTTCAGAAAAAGAAAACTCTGATAGTCAAGCTACTGCAGAAAATTCATGATCAAGCTTCAACAGCACACCCTGGAGGATGAAAGACCCTGGCTCTGGTGCAATCATGCTATTGATGGGCCACCTGGCGGACAGATGTCCTACACTATATTCAGAACTGCCATGTGTGCTGGATCAGTAAAATTCCAAGAGATAAGACTCCTGGTTTGCTAAAGCTGTTATCAATACCAGAACAGGCATGGCAGCATATTGCAATGGACTTCATGGACATGCTGAAAAGCAAAACAGATTATGATGTCATTTTGATCATAGTATGTCAGCTAAGCAAGAAGACAATCTTCATTTCAACCACTCAGAGAGTTACAGCCCAGGAGCTGGCCTGACTATTCATTCAATTCTACTATTCATACAATGGGGTGCCTGACTCAATTGTCTCTGACTGAGGCCCCCAGTTCATATCAAGCTTTTGGGATGAGTTTACATAGATCCTGAGCATAAAACTGAAACTCTCAACAGTGCATCATGCACAAACTGATGGACAGACAGAAGTGGTGAATCAATACATTGCCACCCATCTTCACCTCTATGTCAGTTACTACCAAGATGACTGGGATGAGTGGCTGCTCATTATAGACCATGCCTCTGCAGCTACCTCAAATGCTTCCACAGGGATCTCCCCCTTCCTCACAGCAAATGGATATGAACTCTGAATGTCATTTGACTGGCAACCACTGGCAGAGAAATTGAACATGAATGAGAAAAGAAATTGAGAAGCAGCAAGAAGCTTCATTCACCAAATGAGAGAGATCTGGAACCAGACAAGTAAAGGCATAAGGACAGCACAGGAACAGATGAAGAGGCAGACTGACAAGCACCATCAAGAGTCTGACTTTGCAGTAGGAGATTTTGTTTATCTAACATTGAAATCATACAAGATGGATTGATCAAGCTGTAAATTGGCAGAGCAGAATGCCAGCCCCTTCAGAATCCTGGAAAAGATGAGCAATGCCTACAAACTGGACCTTCTCATAACAATGAAGATTCATTCAATCTTCTCCCCAGACAAGCTATGCAAGGACTCCAGAGACCCTCTACCTGGCCAGACTATCAGACCACCAGACCCAATTGAAATAGATGGTGAGAATGAATGAGAAATAGATTGTATACTGGCCAGTTGAATAAGCTGGAGCAAGCTGCAGTATCAGGTGCACTGGAAGGGGTTTGATGAGGATTCTTCATGGTACCCCACTCACGACTTCAAAGGATCACCACACGCCATACGTGACTTCCATGAGGCTAACCCTACAAAAGCTGGACCCCCAAGGCGACTAGATGAGTGGCTGAAGGCATGGGAGACAGACAGCTACCTGAAGGATGAGGTTGATGACGACCTACCGGCATGAGGACATGCCTGCCCCTAGACCGGGGGGTGATGTTAGGCTCAGCGTCCGACCGAGCCCGACCGAAGGCCGGTGCCCGGTTAGACTCGACGTCGGATTAAGCTCGGCGCCCGATTAGGCCTAATCCATATCACGTGACCACACGACCATGCAGGTGGTTATAATCCACGCAGGCCCCAGCACCCCCTTTCATCCCATCAAGCTTAGTATTTCGTTATATAGCAGTTAGCAACACAGAGAGTCTTTCTTCTTATGCAGCTCGCATTCGCTCCCTAACAGTATTGATGTGACATTTATGCTTTTTGAGCTGTCTGCTGATGTAGAGAAGCTTGAAGACTTCATATCATTCAGTTCACATGTGCAGTAAGTAATTGAAATTAAGAGATGAAGTCTCTTTAGTGGTTAGTGTATGGGGAAGCAAATGCATATCAAGGCTCAAAATGCATTAGATGTTGTTGTGAGGTCAGGTGCACTGATGACACTGTGTTGGCATACCATCAAACTTGCTGTTTGAGAGAATGAAAAAGAGCTTACAAGAATGTGATCAAGATCAATTAAGATATTTTCACAAGATGAATGTTGACAAATGACTGTTGGAGCTGTCTACCCCATCAGACTAAATGTATGTGTGTGTGTGTGTGTGTGTGTATGTGTGTGTGTGTGTGTATGTGTGTGTCTATTTAATATCTGGTTAGTCCACATGCCTTATGAGCATGTGATCTAGTAGAGTCTGTGTCAAACTATAGAGTAGGTAGAGCTGTGTCTGTAGGTGACTATCTATCTAGTAGCTATCTTACAAATGAGGCAAAAGAGTTGTGTATTGCTGCACTGGCAGAGCTTATAGATCAGTTGTCATAGAGCAGAGGTTTTAAAAGATTTTAGATTTGTGAAGAGAGGTAGAGAAGGTGAATAGAAAGAAAGACAAGAAAGAAAAAAAAGAAGAGAAAAGAGAGAAAGAAGAAGAAAATAATGAGAAAGACAGAGACAAGACAGAGAAGAGAATGAACTGTGAGATCTGATCTGAAGATGCATGACAGTGCATTAAACAGATATTCTGATAGAAGACTGTTTCTCTTAGTCAGTTATTGAATTCTAGAATCTCACATGAGATTGTCAGTGTTTTGTGAAGATTGTAGATAGATTAGTGCTGCTTTGCTGCTTTTCTTGCAAAAGTGCAATAGTAGAAATGTTCTGAGATTTTACTATGTTCACACCAGCAGTAGCACTTTGCATCTTCATGCTTAAGATGACTGTAATAGGCTGCAAAGTCTTTATGATATGATTGAATGACATAGAGCTTTTTTAATATGAAGTGTGAAAGTTTTATCTCTGTTGAGACTCTCTTTAGTGAGATCTTCAGCTTCATATAGTATTTGAGCTGATTTTTGATCCAGTAGTTCTCAAAGACTCATGTGATTTGTTTCATAGTGTGTCACTTTATATAAGCTAGAGTGTCTATGCTGTTGAGTTGAGGTATCATGCTTGCACTTGCTGTTTGCACTGTGACTGCTTTGACTTCAAAATCTATCTTTTCATTATCAGCTACATCTGCATGGTCTGGGACTTATGTAATGATCACTCTGCTCTGAGTGATCAATGAGAGTCTATTTCTGCTCTGTCAGATCTTTATGACTTTCAGAAACTATGTGAAGATCTGCTGGCTAGAGGTGTTTGACATAGATTCAAGAGTTCATGCTATCTTCAAATTGTCTAGACAAATGTAGATGTTGCTGACAAACTTTATCTGAGATGAGATGATGACTTTCTTTAGATTCTGCAGAGCTGTCATTGCCTCTGTGTCAAAGACCTCTGCTTTATTCATTGACAGATTTTCTGTGAAGATTAGACAGTGTTCACTATCTCAGCATATAGCTCATTCTGCATCAGTTACACACTGAGAGTGCTCTATCTGTGAACCATCAGTAAAGATCATCAGATTCAAAAGTTTGTGTTGTTGTAGTCAGCTCTTAAAGTCTTGTACTGTCTGTTTCTTTGTGTGATCTACCTCATACTTAATCTGCAGATCTTCTTTTCTGGAAAATCTCATTTAAAAAAGTATAAGTAGAGGGTCATATACTTCTATTCCATCAGCATGACTGGACACTCTAGACAGACATGTGATATAGAGCTTGATGTTAGCTACTTTATTAGAGTATCTCACTAGTGAGTATCTCTTATCAAGCTTTTTAATTCTTACTGCAAATACAGCATATTGATTGTCTAGTGTCTCTTTTATTGACATGATTTCTAGCTCACAGTGTAGAGCTGAAATAAGTGTGATT